GAGACCTCATCTCTACAATAAATCAAAAATCAGCCGGGCGTGGTAGCGCGCGCCTGTAATTCCGGCTACTTGGAAGGCTGAGGTGGAAGGATCGCCGGAGCCCAGCAGGTCGAGGCTATGGTGGCCAAAAGCGGCCACTGCACTCCAGTCTGGGTGACAGAGTGAGACTCCAACTCAAAAAAAAAAACGGCTGAAACTCTGCCATCTACAGATTCCTAAAGAGGAACACGCCTGTTCCTAGGGATGTCAGCACTTGGATCATGCGTATTCTCTCTCCAACAACACGATCCTTGTCATCACTCTTGGTATTTTCAACAACCATGTGGATGAAAGCTTCTGACGCTCCTGCTTGTCCTCCACCTCAGACACCTCGGGTCACAGTCATAACCCAGACCTTGTCTTCCCCAGTCTCCTAACTATTTCATAATCTGAACTTCAACAATTCTTAAACTTAAACTTATTTGTGTATTTTATACCTTTAGCACCCAACCCAACCATTTTTTAAATTGTATTAGGATCCACAATCCACTGAAAAGATCTTTTTAGTGTCACTCTCTCCCTTCCAGTCCTTCTAGTCCCTCCTAATCTGGCTTAAATTCCATAGTCAGTCATTAACATTAGCCCTTTGTATGAGCCTCAAGTCTCCTGGACCCTCACCACTTTATCATAGTTACCTGATAAAACTTAAACCCTGGTTAAATCCAACTCTCTGCCTATTATTAAGTTTCTACTCCCAGAGCTACACAAGGTTAGAAGAAAACATACAAGCAGGTTAACTAGTCTTAATTTAAACTTTTTTTTTTAGTTGGAGTCTTACTCTGTGGTCCAAGCTGGAATGCAGTGACACAATCATGACCACCGCAGCCTTGACCTGCAGGGCTCAGGCAATCCTTCTGCCTCAGCCTCTCGAGTAGCTGGGACTACAGGTGTGCGACACCATGCCCGGATATTTTTTTTTTTGGTAGAGATGAGGTCTTGCTATGTTACCAAGGCTGGTCTCAAACCCCTGGGCTCAGGAAAGCCTCTCGTCTCGGCCTCCCAAAGTGCTGGGATGACAGGCATGAGCCACCTCACCCAGTCACAAATTTATGACCACCCAAAGTAGCCTTTGGACACGCCCAGCATCCAACCACCTTTCCCTGGTCCATTCAACTTTCCCTCTCTTCTAACATCTAACATATTCTCCTCTCACTTAAAATTTCCACCTCAGGCCGGGAGCAGAAGCTCACACCTATAATCCCCACCCTTTGGGAGGCTGAGGTGAGAGGACTGCCTGAGCCCACAGGTCGAGACCAGACTGAGCAACTTGGCGAGACCTCATTTCTACAATAAATCAAAAAAAGTAGCCACGCATGGTGGCACATGCCTGTAGTTCCAGCTACTTGGAGGGCTGAGGCGGAAAGATTGGATCTCCTGAGACCAGCAGGTCAAAGTTGCAGTGTCCATGAGTGTGCCACTGCATACCAGCCTAAACTACAGAGTGAGCCTCCAATTAAAAAAGAAATATAGCCGGGCTCAGTAGCTCAGCCTGTAATCCCGCGCCTTTGGGAGGCTGAGGTAAGTGGATTGCCTGAGACCGTGGGTTCGAGACCCACCTGGGAAACTTGGTGAGACTTCATCTCTATAATAAATCAAAAAGTAGCTGGGCATGGTAGCGCACGTCTGTAGTTCCAGCTACTTGGAAAGCTGAGGCGGAAGGCTCGCTGGAGCCCAGCAGGTCGAGGCTGCGGTGGCCAGGAGCGGCCATTGCACTCCAGTCTGGGTGACAGAGTGAGACTCCAACTCAAAAAAATATATATATATTTCACCTCCTCCCCACTCTCAACAAATGACGTTGCTCCCAATTCACTCAGAAAACAGAAGCAATCTAAAGAAAGTGTCCAGCTGAAGTATCTGGTGATCTGACAAAATTAATATTGTGAAATGCAGAGAAGGGAAAGTGTGGGGAGAAGCTAGCATCTTTCCAACTCTTCTGGAAATAAGAGTTTAACTTTTTTGATATATTAAAACTACAGTGACAGTCCAAATCAAAGAACAAATCTAATAAAATATATGTGTCATTTTAGATTTCAACAGCATTGCCCTAAATCTGCAGGAGTCATTCTCGGCTGACTGCTATATGACCATGTATGAGAATAAATATTTTGGGGGTGATGAAAAAATCACCTGTCAGATACAGTGTGCCCTAGGAGGGGTGATGGGTACACTTAAAGCCTAGACCTTTTCACCGCTATAGAATGCACTCATGTAACCAAAAATCACTTGTACCCCTAAGGTTAATAATAATAAGGGTTGGCACGGAGGCTCATACTTGTAATGCCAGCACTTTGGGAGACCTAGGCAGGAGGATGCTTGAGCCCAGAAGTTCGACACCAGCCTAGGCAACATAGCGAGACCTCGTCTCTACAAAAAAATACAAAAACTAGCCAGGCATGGTGGCACGCACCTGTAATCCCAGGGAAGCTGAGGCAGGAGAACAGCTTGAGCCCTGGAGGTGGAGGCTACGGTGAACTGTGATCGTGCTACTTGCATCCAGCCTGGGCAACAGAGGCTCTGACTCAAATATAAATAATAGGCCGGGCGCGGTGGCTCAGCCTGTAATCCCAGCACTTTGGGAGGCCTAGGCGAGGGGATTGCCTGAGCCCGCGGGTTCGAGACCCACCCGGGCAACTTGGCGAGACCACGTCTCTACAATATACCAGAAAAATTAGCCGGACGTGGTGGCGTGAGCCTGTAGTTCCAGCAACTTGGAAGGCTGAGGCAGAAGGATCGCCTGAGCCCAGCAGGTGGAGGCTGTGGTGGCCGTGAGCGCGCCACTGCACTCCATCGAGCCTGGGCGACAAGAGTGCGACTTCAATTCAAAATATAATAATAATAAATTAATTAATATGATATGACATAATACGTATGTTACCATTTACTCCTGCAGCATTCTTTTTGCTTCTCAAAGGAGCTTACCTCCCAGAATCGTCAAAACAGACGTCCGTGTGTCCCTCCGTGTGTCCGTACCGCATCGGCTTCTGGGTGGCCGGCATCTTCCCTCCGCCCTCCGAAGCGTCGTAGAAAAGCTCGTCTCCCTAATTTAAACGAGAGGAGGCAGGGAGGCTGAAAGGGACGGAGCGAGCCAGGTCTCCTCCTGAGCGCGCTCTCCGCAGCCCCGTGTCCCCCGAGTGGCACCAGCGGGACACGGTGGAGGGTCTGCCGCACGACAAGCCGGGAAGGGCACACGCTGCTCCCGGGGAGGCGCGGGCAGCGAAGGCGAGGGCTCCCCGGGTGGCCGAGCCACCGCGCCGCGGAAGGAAAGGTAGCCAGCGCACGCCCAGCCGCTTCCCGCGCTCGGGCGCGCTCGCCGCACTGCGCCAGCGCAGGCCCGCCCATCCCGGCGCAGTCCAGCCGACGTCGCGCGGTGGTGGCGTCACGCGCGCGCCCTCCGCGGGCCAAAGAGCCGGTGCCTGGAGAGCCCGACGCGAGGCCGGAAGGGAGGGGGCCGGACGCGGAAGTGCTGGCGGCTCGGGGGGAGCCGGCGGCGGCCATGGCCGCGACGCCTGCTGTGGGGACCGGGCGCCGAGAGCGGGGCGGGGGCTGCGGGAAGGCGTCCGCCCGGTAGGACCCTCGCCAGGTGCAGGAGCTGCCGGGCCGGTTTCCAGAGTGATGGCGATGGTGATGGCGGCGGTGGTGCGGACAGCCCCCGGGAAACCGCGTTCTGGGAGGTGAAGGGGACGGGCGCGCGGCCCGGCCTCCAGGCCGGAGTCTGACTCGCGTCTTCCAGGCTTCACCCGGACGACCCTGTCCGGAGTCAGCCCCTCCTCGGGGCCGGCAGAGACGCCTCCGGGCATCTTCTCTAGAGAAGAAGAAGACGAGATCTCTGCGGGTCTCTTGTCTCAGCATCCTTAGGGCCCTCACCCGTCACTCCCGTGAGATCCTGGAGGAAAGACTCGGTTGCAGGTCCGGCTGATCACTCTCGGTCCCTGGAGATGAGGGTGTGCCTTCCTGCGTATTCCTGCCAGTTCTGTCTGGATACCCACCCCTTGTGAAGAAGTGGTTTCTGCTTGCCTTCTCAGAGCCCACCGAAAGTTTGCTGAAGAACACGCTTAGGTCCTGAAGAACAGCTAGAACTACACTCTGTTGCTGAGTACTTCGGTTGGTCTATGCAGTCCCTGCTGAAGACTTGGTCGTTTAGTGTATGCTTTTCCTGTGTCTTCACGTTCGCCATGTTGGGAGGCCAGGCTCTGAGCAAGCCTTCACAGTGGTATCCTTCGTTAGTATTTTGTCTTGGAAGATTTTTCTGGGCTTTGGTGGTACTCACCTTCCAGTCTCAATCAGCTTTATGTTATGGCCTAAATGAGACGCTTTGTTGTTGTAGAGGGTTTTCCGTCTAATTCCATCATGAAAGTTACAAGCGCACATTTAGCCAACCGTGATGTTTTTAACCGTGGTGGCCTTGTGTGAGGTGTTGTTTTTATTCCTGGGGCTCCAGATAGGCTTGCTACACGCTGAGATTTGTACATGAATGAAGAGGAAGAATGACTGGCTTAAAAAGAATTTAGGATTTGTTGGAAAATAACTTACTGTTGATTTTCCACAAGAGCGAAGGTACGTGAGATGATGCTTTATGAGTGATCTACTTTTATTTGGAGATAGTCATTTTAGACTGATTTGTAATGTTTTTGTCCAAGTAACTTAATATCATTGGCTAGAGTATGGGGTTCAAGATGAATTCCAAAACGGTTCGTCTCTGCATTGAATAAATCATAATGAGATCTTAGTTTAGTACTTTTCAGAGCAAAGCATTAGAAGAGTTGGAACAAGAGCTAAGGCTACAAAAATGCTTCACTGTAATATCTATAATACCTGTGACTTTAAAGCTACAAATGGTATCCACACATCTGTGCTTTCTCTTTTTCTCTTATTAGTCAAGCCATTTGATTCATAGGTTAAAGGAAACTTTCCTCTGCATATTTCACACATATGGAAAGAGCTTGACCCTTGGCGTTCAGCAGTCCTAGGTTTTAATTTTGACTCTGACCCATTTCGTGACCTTGAACATGCTTCTTTATTTTCAGTCGAATTCCTCATTCTAAAATGGAGATGATACCTACCTCCATCTGCTTGTTAAAGTACATGGGAGATACTCATGGATGTGTAAAACTAATTGTTACTAATGCCTCATGTTATCAGTGGGTATTTAGGTGGGTATTTGACTTTGTTTAAAGTGGGGTTTTTGTAAATAATTGTCCAATATTATAGCTTTTGCTAGTATAATTTCAAATTCCATTTGTTTTGGTCTAATGCCTGCAAACTGTAAAGGCTTCAGTGAGCTCATGATCTTGTTGAGGGAAATAGATATTCAAATAATATGTACAAGATGATAGTGCGGTACTGAATCACGTGTAACTTAAATATTAGCAAAATTATCTGGTTAATATGATCACATAGCTTTTTAAAAAGAAATCATTATAGCTGTGTCACAGATGTGGCTGTGAAAATTTTCCAAAAGGGCTGGGTGTGAGGCCGAGGCAAGAGGGTGGGCAACATAGCAAGATCTTGTCTCTAAAAAAAAAAAAAAAAAAAAGATCAACCAGGCATGGTAGCACTCACTACCTGTAGTCCCAGCTGCTTGGGAGGTTGAGGCTGTGGTGGCCATGAGCGCCCCACTGCATTCCAGCCTGGGCAACAGAGCGAGACTCTGACTCAAAAAAAAAAAAATTCCCAAATGCGTTTATTCCTCATTATCAGTATATATCTTATAGATGCAAGTAGCTGAATGAACTGGCTGAAGATGATACTAGGGTCACAGATTCAGTTGCAGTGAAGGTTAGTTAGCTTTACACTGTTGTGACACTCATAGTACTGTTAGGCCCACAAATATTGTTGGTCTCAAGGGCAATTAGGTGAGAAAACATGGACAAGTTGCCTTTCTACCGATGGTAGTATTATTTATATAAATGTCGTGTAAGCTTACAGAATTTAGCTAAGAGGATATATCTATATTGGCTTATGGAAGAAGTTTAAAAGATAGTTTTTAGTAACATATGTACTTAATGTAAAAATCATTAGTCCTGTGAAGAAAGATAAGGCTAGAAGAGAGTGTAACAATAGCTTAGGAGACCAAAGTATTGAAAATATTGAGAAAACAACATTGAAGGGAGGTTAGAAATCTGAGGATTTTTATGTCTCTCAATGTGTTCTGAAACTTACTAGCCTATTGAGTTTATTTTTGGGTCAGTGATACCTGCATATGCGTAAACTGGGTAACTATAAAAAGCAATACAGCAGAAGGTCTCCTACTTACCAGTACTCCCAGCCACCCAGGTCCCCTGGCTAAAGACAGGCAGTATTTGATTCTTGTATTACACTGACACTAGATCCTTACCACAGCAAGATACAGATAATAAATGTTTGATAGATGGGAAAACAGAGACTCAGGAAGGTTGTGATTTATCTACAGTCACACACCTACCAAATGCAGCGCTAGAAATGTCAAAGCCAGATCTTTCCCCTAATCCAAGATAGTGTGCCGCACTGACTCTCCAAATCACAGCTGTTGTCGCAAATCTTAGGATTTAGTAAAACATAAAAGGACATAAAAGTGATTTTATTTAAGACTAGAGTCACCTTTTGCTGGTTTATAAGTGAAACTTGCTACACAACCTTAAATATAAGCATATGTAATTGTCATAAAGCTATGAAAAGAATAATCTGTAACCCATTTAAAAAAAAAAAACAAACTTTGCCTTCTACTTCTAAGGTTGATTTCCTAAATTCGCTTGCAAGGAAGTACAAATTTTTGTTTGTTTGTTTTTGAGTCTGGAGTCTCAACTCTGTCCCCAGGCTGGAATGCAGTGGCACGGTCCCAGCCATCGCAGCCTCAAGCTGCTGGGCTCAGGTGATCCTTCCGCCTTAGCCTTCCAGTTAGCTGGAACTACAGGCACACACCACCATGCCTGGCTAATTTTTTAAAATTTATTGTAGAGTTGAGGTTTCACCAAGTCACTGAGCCTGGTCTGGGAAGTACAAATTTTTTGTCATTAAAAGTTTGGGCTGGGTGTGGTGGCTCACGCCTATAATCCCAGCACTTTGGGAGACTGAGATGAGCAGATTGCCTGAGCTCATGGGTTGGAGACCATCCCTGGCAACTTGGTGAGACCTCAACTCTACAATAAATCAAAATATTAGCTGGGTGTGGTAGCACACACCTGTATTTCCAAGCTACTTGGAAGGCTGAGGGGGAAGGATCGACTGAACCCAGCAGATCAAGGCCGTGAGCGTGCCTGGGCGACAGAATGAGATTCGGACTCAAAAAAAAAAAAAAAGTTTGGCTGGCCAGGTCCAGTAGCTCAAGCCTGTAATCCCAGCACTTTGAGAGGCTGAGGCAAGAGGATTGCCTAATAAGCTCATGGGTTCGAGACCAGCCCGGGCAACTTGGTGAGACCTCATCTCTACAATAAATCAAAAAAAAAGCCTGGTAGTGTGTGCCTGTAGTTCCAGCTACTTGGAAGACTGAGGCAGAAGGATTGCCTGCGCCAACCAGGTCAAGGCTGCTGTGGCTGTGAGTGTGTTACTGCACTCCAGCCTGGGCAACAGAGTGAGGCTCCAGCTCAAAAAAAAAAAGAAAAGTTTGGCTATTGGACCAGACACAATGGCTCACACCTATAATCCCAGCACTTTGGGAGGCCAAGGTGAGAGGATTACTTGAGCCCAGGGGTTCGAGACCAACCTGGGCAACTTGGTGAGACCTCATCTCCACAATAAATCAAAAAACTAGCTGGGCGTGGTGGCACATGCCTATGGTTCCAGCTACTTGGAATACTGAGGCGGAAGGATCACCTGAGCCCAGCAGGTCTAGACTACAGTGGTTGTGACTGTGCCACTGCACTCCAGCCTGGGTGATAGTGAAACTCCGACTAAAAAAAAAAAAATTTGGTTATTTACACCCATAAATTTATTTATTTATTTTCAAAGATGTGGGGTACAATTCAGAATTAGGTATATAAATGTTCATTATGCAGGTACCCTTGTTGATGAAAACATCTATAATATTTTTAAAGAATATAGAACTTTTTAAAAAGAACCTTTAATATCAGCAGTAATATAAAGTGCTTTATGGTATATCAGAGGTGCTATAGCCTCCTTGACTTCAGATTTTCAAGGCATATTTTTGTGCAGATTTTCTAGCCTCATATGTAGGCTTTGTTTCCTCTTTCCTTTTTCTTTTCTTTTTTTTTTTTGAGTCAGAGTCTCACTATCGCCAAAGCTGGAGGGCAGTGACACACTCACAGCCACAGCAGCCTCGACCTCCCAAAGTGCTGGGGATTACAGGCTTGAGCCACAGCACTCGGCTCCAAATGTATTTAATAAGAGAACTACTTTTTCTCCAGAATAGTATTAACACCTTTCAGAACTAGTGTCCACAAGAGTACAGATTGGGGAACACTGGCATAAGCAAACTATAATTAGGAAAGAAAGTGGAAAAAAGTGGGAAGAAAAGGGAAAGGAGGGTACAGTGGTAGTAAATCAATGACTCCTTTTTTAAAATTACTAAGTCCCATGAGCCCTGGCTCAGTAGCATGAAAAAAGAAGATACTTTAAAATATGTAATGGGAAATGAGCCTATATTGCTTTTGTATTGAGAAAAGCACGTATTTTTCAGTTCAGAGATTCTACCATGTGAACAAACTCATCTTCACATTTTTTTTCCTTAACATTCCAAGGAGTTTGTCTATTGTCAGCTACCCAGTAAATTTCGTTTGTGGGGACTGAATGTTTCTACAGAATCCAACTCAATTATCAGACTGATCAGAATGCTTTCAAGTTTTAGAGAGGATTATGGCAGGAAAACTCTGGGATTTAGTAGGAAAAGGCCCAGGGCTGAATTACTACCAAAATAACAAATTGGTAGCCGGGCTCAGTGGCTCAGCCTGTAATCCCACGCCTTTGGGAGGCTGAGGTGAGTGGATTGCCTGAGCCTGCGGGTTCGAGACCCACCTGGGCAACTTGGCGAGACCTCATCTCTACAATAAATCAAAATATTAGCCGGTCGTGGTAGCGTGTGCCTGTAGTTCCAGCTACTCGGAAAGCTGAGGTGGAAGGATCGCCAGAGCCCAGCAGGTCGAGGCTGCGGTGGTTGGGAAGCGTGCCACTGCACTCCAGTCTGGGCGACAGAGTGAGACTCCAACTCAAAAAAAATAAAAAATTTATGAATTCTTCATGTAGTATACTGAATGATTCTCTATAGGATCAAATTTATTTCAGTTTTTTATTTACATTAATTGTGGTCTAAGATATATATCAGCATTGTATACATAAGTAGTTCAGTGAATAACATATACAGTAATGCTTTATTATTAACATCATAGAAAATTTTGAATTCCCTATCATCTATATCTAACATCATAATGAATTTTCCAGATAAATGAAGCTGAACCCTTTAACTATTGGGTTTTAATTGTTTTATATAGGAATCTTGAATTTAAATCATTCCTAGCCTTATTCCATAGAACTAACTAAATATTATTTAAATCTTTTGTTAGTGAAAATTGACATGGTGCATCACTCTGTTATTACTGTCATTGCAATTTGTGGTAGAACCTGGGACCAAATAGTGACAGATTCTGGGAACTTGTCTTCTTGAAAAAGCTTTTATGTGAACTTGCTTTTTAGATATTTGCCTTTTGCTCATTAAGAAATAATGATTAAAAATTTAAAAAAAGAGATGTCACTGTGTACTCCCCAAGGCAGTGTAACATAGCCTACCTTCATAAAAAATTAAATATTGAATCAAGAGCCAAAGCTTTTTTGTCTTAAAAAAAAAGAAAGAAAAGAAAAAAACTTTGCAGCTACCATCAAAGTTCTCTAATTTGTTAGTATCTTTCAAATTATCATCTTTGATTTCTGTATCACATGTAATTGGTGGTAAAGCCACCTTATTTTGTATCCTTTTCTACCTCATTTATACAAAGTTTGTATAAAATATCAAGAATTAATGATAGGTTATCCAGAATGACTAAGTCAGATTGATAAACCTGCACTTTTTTATATTCCCATTTTGCATGTATAGGTAAGACATCAAAGTACCTTTTTAAAAAAGCATCTTGCCGGGCGCAGTGGCTTACTCCTGTAATCCCACCACTTTGGGAGGTGAAGGTGAGAGGATTACCTGAACCCAGGGACTTGAGACCAGTCTGGGCAACTTAATGAGAACTTGTCTCTACAATAAATCAAAACATTAGCCAGGCATGGTGGTGCACCTGTGGTTCCAGCTTCTTGGAAAGCTGAGGCAGAAGGATCTCCTGAGCCCAGCAGGTCAAGGTTGCAGTGACCATGAGCGTGCCACTACACTCCAGCCTGGGCAACAGAGTGAGACTCTGACTCAAAACAAACAAACAAAAACACATCTTTAGTCTTTATGAGTATAACAATTAAAATAATTTTGCTAGTGGCGTGCGTCTATAGTTCCAGATACTTGGAAAACTGAGACGGAAGGATCTCCGGAGCCCAGCAGGTCGAGGCTGTGGTGGCTGGGAGCGACCACTGCACTCCAGTCTGGGTGACAGAGTAAGACTCCAACTCAAAAAAAAGAAAAGAAATAATGAACTCTGTGGATTTTAAATGATTATATACCAATGAACTCACCAAATCAAAATACAGTTGTCCTTCAGTATCCATGGGGGATTGGTTCTAGCACCCCTGCAGATATCAAAATCCATGGATACTCAAGTCCCTTAATATAAAATGGAGTAATAGTTGCACATAACCTACACAGGTCCTCCCATATACTCTAAATCTTCTCAAGATTACTTATAATACCTAACACAAAATAGAAATACTTGGTAAAGAGTTGTTATAATGTATTGCTTTTAGTTTGTATTTTTTGTTGTTGTTTTTACTTTTTTTCTCTAATATTTTTGATCCGTGGTTAATTGAATCCAAGGATGGGGAACCCACAGATACAGAGGGTCAACTGTAATAAAAATAACCACCAGATACTTTTCAGTATTTAGGGATGGAGCTCTTTAAATGGCAAGTCTTTTTTATTAGTTCATACTTTGAAGCACTTGCCAATCATACTTGCCAATATAGATGCTTGTTTCAAATCCTACTACTTTGAAAATGGATGCAAGTGTTTATGGATATTTACTTGACTGTTGGGATATTTCATGTTCCTCTGACCAATCAGAAACTTAATTATAATCGGAATGTTTTGCCAATTTCATAGGAAAGGCAGTGCCCTGTAGAAATTGATCTGCTTGTTTTCAAATGATCAAAAATGCATAAATGATTAAGAATGTGTACAATGCCAAATTATTCTCCAATTCTGTATTTTCTAAAAACTGCCTAGGCTGATATGAAGTTTATTTGTTACTGAAATGAGTTGCCGGGCTCGGTGGCTCAGCCTGTAATCCCACGCCTTTGGGAGGCTGACGTGAGTGTATTGCCTGAGCCCGCGGGTTCGAGATCCGCCTGGGCACGAGACCTCATCTCTACAATAAATCAAAAAAATTAGCCGGGCGTGGTAGTGCATGCCTGTAATTCCGGCTACTCGGAAGGCTGAGGCAGAAGGTTCGCCAGAGCCCGGCAGATCGAGGCTGCGGTGGCCGGGAGCGGCCACTGCACTCCAGTCTGGGCGACAGAGTGAGACTCCAACTCTAAATAAATAAATAAATAAATAAATAAATAAATAAATAAAATAAACAAAAGCAGTTATATTATAAAAAAAAAGAAATGAGTTGACAACATCTGCATTGGAAATGCTTGCTGGATATTTCTGCTATTTGATGGTGATTATTTGTTTAATAAATTCTTACAACTTTATTGTTCATACTTTAATTATTAGGAAAGGAAATAAGGAGAGAGAAGTGAAGGAACTATAGAGAGTAGTGGTTTTCAAACACTAGTTTATAGATTTGTACAAAGAATTCACTAGTCTGCTGTGAAATAAAAATGTAAAGGAGCCAGGTGCAGTGACTCACGCCGGTAATCCCAGCACTTTGGGAGGCAGAGGCAAGAGGGTTGTCTGAGTCCAGAGGTTTGAGTCCAGCCTGGGCAACTTGGTGAGACCTTGTCTCTACAGTAAATCAAAAAAGTAGCCAGGTGTGGTGGCTTGCACCTGTGGTTCCAGCTTCTTGGAAGGCTGAGGCAGAAGGATCACCTGAGCCTAGCAGTTGGAGGCTGCAGTAGCTGTGATCATGCCACTGCATGCCAGCCTGGGCAACAGAGTGAGGCTCCAACTCAAAAATAAATATATGGTAAAGGAGAAATGGACATAAGGTATACTTCAAGACTAGAAATTGTTCACATTTGACCATGTGTTATGGTTGATAGAGGAGGCTTGACTTCTTCTGAGCCACACTGAAAATTAGCTTTGGGAAAGGAATTCAGACTCTTGAATCCTTGGCACTATTATAAATCATTAGTCTTGGGACTGTCTTCCAACATTTCCAACACTCCCTTTTTCATGCACTAATTGTGATTTTTCATCTTGTGTCTAATTGATTTATAAATTAGACAAGGTGAGTGACAAATGGTTAATGACTTTTTTTTTCTTTAGATACATCCAGAAGGTACCCAGAAGAAACTCCCTGCCGGAAAAACTGAAGAAGCAGTATTTATAACACTGGAATTTGTGGATAATTTGTGAAAATGGCAGAAAATAATGAAAATAATAGTAAAAATGTAGATGTGAGGCCCAAAACTAGTAGAAGCAGAAGTGCTGACAGAAAGGATGGCTATGTGTGGAGTGGAAAGAAGTTATCTTGGTCCAAAAAGAGTGAGAGTTGTTCAGATGCTGAATCAGTGAATGCTGTAGAGAAAACTGAAATTTCTCTAAGGAGCCAAGAAAGGAAGCACAGCTGCTCATCCATTGAGCTGGACTTAGATCACTCCTGTGGGCATAGATTTTTAGGCCGATCTCTGAAACAGAAACTGCAAGATGCTGTGGGGCAGTGTTTTCCAATAAAGAATTGTAGCAGTCGGCACTCTCCAGGGCTTCCATCTAAAAGGAAAATTCATATCAGTGAACTCATGCTAGATAAGTGTCCTTTCCCACCTCGATCAGATTTAGCCCTTAGGTGGCATTTTATCAAACGACATACTGCCCCCATAAACCCCAAGTCAGATGAGTGGGTAAGCACAAACTTGTCTCAGAGTGAGCTGAGGGATGGTCAGCTAAAACAAAGAAGAAGCCTGGAAGAAGATATGAGCTGTTTCTCACATACCAATGTTCAGCCCTGTGCCATAACCACCAACAATGCTTTGTGTAGAGGAGGCCCTATGGCTGGCTCTGCAGTGAACCTGGTTTCAAATAACAGTATAGAAGATAGTGATATGGATTCAGATGATGAAATTATAACACTCTGCACAAGTTCCAGAAAAAGAAACAAACCCAAATGGGAATTGGATGATGAAATCCTGCAGTTGGAAACACCTCCTAAGTACCACACCCAAATTGATTATGTCCATTGTCTTGTACCAGACCTCCTTCAGATCAATAACAATCCATGTTACTGGGGAGTTATGGATAAATATGCAGCCGAAGCTCTGCTCGAAGGAAAACCAGAGGGGACTTTTTTACTCCGAGACTCGGCACAGGAAGACTATTTATTCTCTGTTAGTTTTAGGCGCTACAGTCGTTCACTTCATGCTAGAATTGAACAGTGGAATCACAACTTTAGCTTTGATGCACATGATCCTTGTGTCTTTCATTCTCCTGACATTACTGGGCTTCTAGAACACTATAAAGACCCAAGCGCCTGTATGTTCTTTGAACCACTGCTATCCACCCCTTTAATTCGGACCTTCCCCTTTTCCCTGCAGCATATATGCAGAACAGTTATTTGTAACTGTACGACTTATGATGGTATAGATGCCCTTCCAATTCCTTCTTCTATGAAATTATATCTGAAGGAATATCATTATAAATCAAAAGTCAGAGTACTCAGGATTGATGCACCCCAGCAACAATGCTAGGAAAAGGATTGGAGCGTGGGGGTGATTATAGACATATTCTCATTTAATATTTTATTTTTCTTATTATGTCACTTTGAGTTTTTCTACAAAGGCAGTGGGGTTCAAAATAAACTTCTGCCCGAATTCTAGATCCGTTGATTTTTTTTTTTTATGATACACTAACTGCTTAAGGTTATACACTAGAGGTTAATAGATATTTTTAACTGGGTGTTTTGTTTTTGTTTTCACCTTGTAGATTCTGTACTTCTTCTTTCCTTAATTTATATATGATCCAGGCATATTTGGATCATATGCAAATATGATTTGGTAGGTATTACAAACATTTTGAATATTCTGTATTTTCATACTTTACTTTAAAATTTGATCTTATTTCCTTTCCTACTTGTATTTTGTTAATCTATGCTGTCAGTATTCCTATACATAAAATGCAGTTTGCTTACCCCCCTTTTCATTGAGTTAAAAATTTTTCAGTAAAACTGAGCGTTGTAATTCACCATTCATACTTATGTAACTGACTTTTGTTACTTGTTGATATGAATGTTAAAGGTACAAAATGGTTTAAAGCTAAACCTGATGTGTTTTGATTTTGAATATCAACTATAAAGCAGGATTACTAAATTTGATTAATCTGGTCACTGAGAATCAAATGAAAACAACATTCTAGAGGTACATTTATTCTGTAATGTGGCAGGATCATTTGTCATTCCTAAATAGGTCTTTCTCTTAGCCTAGAAGAGTGAAAACATCTTCAAAACATAAATGTTGTTCCTTTCTTACTGGAAGCTTTAAAAATAATGATAACACTATTAATAGCTAGTAGTTACTAAAGTGCTGAAGCAACTGTGGGGTTTTTCTGTATTGTGAACGGTTACTTCTACTTAGCCCTTTTATGGAAACTCTGAGCCTGTTACTCTGGGGAAACTCCACAGCTGATAAGCTGCCACAAATTTCCACTGCTAACCAAAGAGAACCTAAATAATTTTTCATTACTTTAAATTGCAAAGATTCAAGAAATAAACACAGAGCTAGTATTCAGGAAACTGAATACTGTCTTTGATCTACAGGTTCCAAGTAATTATTTCTGTCTTCAGAATTAACTTAAGTCTATAATTTGGCTTCCAAACAAAGGAAAACCTTTTAACAACTACATGACTTATGCCATAGAGAACAGTACTGAACAAAAGCAGCAATATTTTAAATTTACTATCCCAAGAACTGGGCAGCATTTTTATATCATTAGCCCAATGTAACTAGTAAAGATAAATGAAGTGGTATCCTAAGGTTTTTTTAAGGATCGGTGAATAATAAATCTAGACAGATTGTTCAGTTTTTCTTCCATGAGCTGTCTAACCCTTTGTACAAATTGGCATTTTTAATATAGTAACTGATTTCTTGATGCTAGTTTAGCTGTATTAGCAAACTGCTTCACCTGGATTGAAAGAAATCAAACAACACTTTCCAGGTTAGAAGTGTTTCTTAACTATAGTTGCCTTTACATGAAGTAGCACTTATCTTGCAGTTACGCTGTTAACATAAAATGGCATTTTTCAATGATAGCTTTAAAATAAGCTGTTAGCGATTATTAGAAAATTAAATCAGGAGAATCTCTATCAGCATATCTTCTAGTATTTTTTTCCTCAGTGATCTCAAGATTGTCTTGGTCTCAATGAGGTGTCGCTATAAAAATGGCACCTCTCTCAGCAGTGATGAGGCTCAGGATATCACCACACCATGTCAGGATAAATATCTCTTCTAAAGATGATATTTACCTTTTACAAAGGTAGAAAAGTCTTATACTACCTCATCTTTATTGCGGCGCCTTTGTAGATCACTGAGAAGATTGTCTTATTAATCTGTATCTCACTTCCTAAATACCCATTTTTGATGAGAGAAACTTAATAGTGTGGTAAGACTTCTACCCATGATTATAGTTTTTATCAGAATTTGATAAGATTTTCTGTTTCTGTGAAACAATTACTTTAAATATTTTTCTTTTAAGAATAACTTTTTATCAGTAGAGAAAAACCTAAGGGATGACTAGCTTACGAATATGCTGTTAAGTGGTAGTTTTATAAAGACAAATGAAATATAATTATGTTGTTTTTTTATAGTGGTAAAAAATTAGTGTTTATATGAAAGTCAAGATCTGCATAGCTTTTCATAGAATTTAGACTGGTTGTGATCTCTTTTCTCTGGCTTTTTTATTTTTTTCAACTTCAAGGTATTAACAGCTATTAACACTTTTACAATACTGCCATATATGTAGCCTTGAAGTCGATGATCTAATACATGAGAACAGGGAAGAGACTCATTCACTCTGAAATGATTTGTATTTTTCCTTTGGTATTTGCTACAATGAAAAGAAGTTTGGAAAGTAGAAATATAAAGATTTGAGAAGGGAATTGTTTACCAGGAAGGGAAAAGAACAGTAATCATTTTTTTAAACACTAAGGGATTGGAATTTAGAAAGGTTACCCCCATGTCTCTTTGTGAGGATACATTTGGAAGAACTAACTCGTAAGAAACAGATTAATTGTGCTATATAACTAAAATGAGTAAATTTTGAGAGGAACAATGTAGAGAAATATAAATGTACCTAAATCCGGTAAAATTTTGTATTTGTAACTCTAAGTTGAACATCAGGAAGATTTTTGAAAAGTATAAATTCCAGAGTTGAGAAAGCATTCCGCAGGGTAGAAATGTGTAGAGCTTATTGGTGAAAGGATGGAGCTAAAAGAAATAAGATAAAATATTAAAATTGGGAACTTGGGCATTACCTCAGGGAAAAGCCTTGACAGTGAAAGGGAACTACTTAATTGCTAAAAGCCAGTCTGGACCAGACACTTAACTGCGCTTTGGGAATCATCCTGGGCTAATCAGGAAATAAACTTGGACTTTTTTGTTTTTCATTGAAGCTTTCCAGGATGTACCCCGCTCCCCCAATTTTTTTTAAACCTACAGAATCTTGAGTCATAGTATAATTCCTGAAATATGCTGAATGGATTTTTTTAGATTCCTTGAGCATTTTTGTATGAAGAAACATATGTGGTCTTTCTATACTCATGCCATTGATTTAAATAATTCATAGAGGGAATGGTTTAATTTAAAGAAAGGACCTAATAGGAGGAAGATTAAAGGAAGCTTTTAGTCAGCCTGTGGCTATATTTATTGATCTGGTGATCAAACCTGTGTTCTTTCCTGAATTCCAGCTAATGGCCAACTGTGGTCAAAGAATGACTTTCCGTTAAAGTTTTGACTTTTATTATAAATAATATAAAGAATGTCTTAGTAATTAGAAATTCTTTAAAAAGTAGAACAAATGTGACAAATAGGACTCATCATTATACAAATTCATTTCTTTTTATGAGAAAAATACATAAACCATTATCATTTATTCATAAGCCAGAGCCATTAAGAAGATAAATCAAGTTATCAGCTTCCTGTCTCTGAAGTTTGGATTAGTTTATAGATGCACGTAATAGAGTGCTTCCTTCCTATGAAAGAAAAACCTTGAGATCTCACTCTTATATTCTCATTATTCATTAAAAGTATTTCTTGTCAATTTTATCTATAATCAGAATTCAATAAACAGCTTATATATTGGTTTTCTGGAGCAAATTTCATAGGAAAGCAAATTTACATAAGGCATTCCTGAAGACAACACAGGAAAACAATGTAAAATGTAAAGTAGCCTCTGTAATGTTAGGTAATTTAGTGCTCAAATGAATAAAAGATGGTAAGTCAAATAAATTATTGTTTCTACTTTGGGGGAAAAAAACCTTTACAACTTTTTTTAACAATCAGTTTTACATTCTTCTTTATTTCTAAGGTAAGATCAGAAAGCACAAAGGGTTTTTCTTTTCTTTATTAATGAATGGTCAGCTGGAAATGAGCAGTGATATAGGAGTCCAATATTCTAAAACTATCGGATATGAAACGTTTTAAAATAGACTGCCTTGTAAGTAGAAATGTAGACTAATGGATATAACACAATGGAAAAGGATTCAGGACACATGAATCCTACTTTAAATAAGGCTGAAGTCTTTTATTTACTTTCTAATTTTGAAAGAATAGTCCTAAATCTTCCTTTGCCTTCATTTTCTATAAAACGTAGGTCATATTACTTGTCACTTGACTTCCTGGTTAATTCTTCAATAAGAGATGACCTTGGAGCATACTTAAAAATAACTGCTGTATCAACAAGGTGCCTGAACGAAGCATATTTGTATACCTAACCCTTAACTGTACCCCACAATATCATAATAAAAAATATTGATTATAAAAGAATAAAAAATAACTGCTGTACAGTCACTGAGTACTACTAATGTGATAATTTTTCAAAATATCTCCTTAGTGAACCCTGCAGAATCACATCCATTTTAGTCTGTAATAGACTGTCTTGGCTTGATTTAACAGATAACAGTACAATTGAAATTTATGGTTTAGACTCTGCAATTAGATGAACAATTGCAGTTTCCTCCTATCCTTCATAAAGTCTATGTAAAATTGTTGTTTGCCTGACGTTTTAAAAGTTGATTACATTTGCAGGAAATAAAGATAATCACTTTTGCTGTGGTTGTAATCAAATCTAAGCTTTCAGGCTTGAGAAACATGGTGTAAAACTCGAGGTTTACTCAAACTATGCTGACTTTGCTGGAATTGGGTAAATTCTGTATAAGCCAAGTATGAGTTGATATATACTTGAATATAAGAGTTTTTCACATAGCCGTTACTCTGGCCAATCAGGCTTGTGTGATCTGCTCCTTGCCCCAAAAGTAGTAGGCTGTTTCCACTTTTATTTCTAATCCTGAAGTTGACTGAATGTTTCTTCTTGGAAGTGAGTTCAAATAAATTGATCTGGATAAATTTTCATTTCCTTAATTAAAACTTCATATGTAAAGTTCAGAGGCATTGTGTTTTGTTTTTAAAACGTCCTTCACACGTTCAGCTTAGAATCTGAAAAAAAAATCGATATTCTTGCACTCTCTAATGTATAATACGCTCCCGTTTTTGGTGTATGCGTGTGGGTCTTCTAGAAGCAAAGATGTGATTCGTGCGCAAGATGAGTACTTGGGGTGAGCCGCCTGCGGACGACCCAGGAAGGGAGAAGGCGAGAAAGCGAGTCCCGCTGCAAACCTGACACCGGCGAGAGGTGGGGGCTGGCGGGTTGGGTTTCAGATTGTCCCGCGGCGATGAGAAATGCTAGGTGGGGTCGGTTCCCAAGCCGAGGTTGCCCGCACAGAAATTCACGTGGGGCAGAGGCGGCCTGAATCCAGAACCCCGCGCTGCTGGTGCTGGTCGCAGGCAGGAGCTGGAGCACGCCACTCGGGCACAGGTTCCGCCGGAAGACCAAGGGACACGGCGTTGGGGTGCAATGTTCTAAAGTCGGAACTGCGCAGAAGACGGGTGCGCGAGACCTCATTTTAAACCTGGCCGGACCCCTGACTTCCCGTTGCTTCAGGTGGGCTTCGGCGTGGCCCCGCGGACTCCGTCTCCCCCTGGGCCCGTGCCCTTTCCTCCCGGCGTGCGTGTCGGGAGTGCCTCCACGGCTCCTCCGGCAAGAGTGGCGCGCGCGGCGGGGCACGTGCAGACATGGCTTCCTCTGGGAAGCCCCGGACTCAGCGAGCACCCACCGGCCCGCCGAAGGCCCTCCAAAGGCCCTCCACCGAGGCTGGCAGCCACACCCGCGCGCACCGCCCATGCCTGTCTGGCACCGCGGGCCCGACTGCTCAGGGCGGGCGGTGTCCGTCGCCAGCCCTGGCCCGGCCGGCACCTAGTGTCTACTCCAGAGCGGGGCCGGGCAGGGGGCTCAGGCCTGCAGCCCCGGCGTTCCGGGGGTCGAGGCGGGAGGGCAGCCCCAGCCCGGCCTACGCAACGCCGCGAGAAGCCCCACCTCTGCCACACAGATCGTGCTCAAATGAGCGCGAGAAGCACCTGCGAGGGCGGTGAGCAACGATGGGCCCCGCCCCTCGCGTGCCCCCCACAGCCAGACGTCGGCGCTCCGGCTTCCGCAGAGGATCCGGCTCCCGGGGCCCGCCCGCACGCCACGCGCCCGCAGCCTGCCCAGCCCGGCGGGATCGGAGCGCACGCCCCGGATTCGCGGTACCCGCGGTGTCCTATCCGCCGGCGGCCGGGGCGCGGCCCAGAATCCGAGCCCGGGGAGCCGCGGTAGCCGCCGGGACAGGGCCGGGCGGACGCCGGGAGCAGCCGCAGTACCGCCGGGAACCGGCGGGGGCGCCCGCGGCCGGCACGGCGGGGGACGGGGCGGCGGCGCTTCCGGTTCCGGCGCCGGGAGGAGCCGCGCCGCCGTCGCCGCCGTCCGCCGCTTCGCTGTCAGGCTGCGCCCACCCTAGCACCACGTCCCGAGCCCGTCGCCGCTCTGGACCCAGCCATCGTCTCGGATCCGCCGGGTGAGGCTGCTTCGGCGCCAGCGGGGTCGGGCGGCGG